TGACCTCATACTACGTAAACACCATTGCCAATATTCCTTGGACTTTCAACCCCACCTCCGTAAGCTCCGTAAGCTCCGCAACCTCCAAGCTTCGCGGATCGCCTTCGGCACTTTCGCCACTTGTAATGTATCTCTCACGTTTCCCCCTCATCCCTATTTGGACTGCTGCTTCTTCCCATTCTAGCCAGTTAGTTATCATCCCCACTTCTCCTCATCCTCCTGCCCCTCTGGGCCTTGCCCTCCCTACCTCCTTTCGGACGTATCACAGGTCCTGCCTTATGACCTTCGGTACCGCTCTGCTTCTGTCTACCCTTTGTTCCCGTTCGGACATCTTCGTCCCGATTCGGATCCCCTTTGTTTCCTTGTGCTTTTGCCCCCCCCCATTATATATATTGGCGCTTGTACATACTCGTTTTGGGCTCAGTCCGAAATCGACCTGAAATGCCCCCTAGAGACTTCCTGCTCACCTACTGTGAAATTAAGGACCAAATGGACAAACAGCAATGGCACAGCACTCCGCTTGAGTCGCTGAGGCCAAGGTCCCTCCACGCTAAGTCTCTGATTCCACTCCGGAGTCGTCTGAATCCACAACACATCTCTAACACTTCCCATGCCTGCACATGTAGCCGAGGATGGAAGTACCACAGAACAAGGATTCCTTAGGAACCAATGCAAAATTCAAAGTCGTGTTTATAATAGGAAATGTAGATATCTCCCAAACGGACCCAATAAAAGTAATTACAGAGAAAACTACCCATAAACGACGGAGATATGACCCAACCTCTCGGAAAATGAGGACAACGTTTAAAAGGCAAGCACAAGGAACAAGCAGTAACGACCGAGACGAGCTTGATAACCCATTAGAAAGGAAGGGATCTAATCTTAATCCACCCAAATTTTCATAATAAAAGGTTCACACATCAATGAGATATTCAATAACGGGAAGAGTGACATCAAAGTCATGGCTCAGGGAAAAGGTGACGTTCACAAAGGATCCATATATAAAACATACAACGAAATTTACACGGAAATTATGATAAATAGGAAACTATAGTGATGCAAAGTTTCAGCCCAAAGGGTTCAGCCATTGTGAAGTTATATCAACGACAGGAATATAGAAATCCACATCATGTTTAAAGACACGTGAGGGTGGCAATGCGAAGGGAACTGGCCATTGGAATCAAGATCCACACTTCAGCAGATCACGAAGACCAATTTCCGTCCAAATAAGGAAGACCCCAGTCAAAACAAAGCACAGAAAGTACAAAACAACCTTAGATCATGAGGGAAAAATCTGAAATAAATCACGGAAGCCTGTATAAAGGATACAAACACTTGCACATACCATAAATCTCAAACAATTAAACAGAAATGGCACCCACATACAAATGACTACGGGAGCGATGCATGTGTCACGACCGACAAATCCCAGGGCTCCATCAGCGGCGAATCAATGCCGATAGGTGTCAAAAACCCGGGTTGGACGAGGGGGTAAATGCGTGAGTCCGAATGCAGGTGGGGCTCAACTAGAGGGGGTCTGAGGGCTCCGGTAGTGAACCGAAGCTTCTCTGGGAGCCCGGTTCTGCTGGATGGTACAAGAGGCTCTAAGAAGGATGCGGCCTCAGCAACTCGGAGGGAGCGCTGTGCCTCCGTTACGTCTCAGCTAGTCCTTGTATTTCTTATGTCTGAGGTGTCTTGTAGAACAGGAACGGGAATCACTCAGAGGGACTTTGGGTGGCATTTTAGTCGAGATTAGAACTAAGGAACTACAGGTTCTAACCTACGGGTATTTATAAAGGAGAATGGGGAGGACTTAGTCAAGGTCCGAAATGACAAATGGGACAACACCGAAAGGTGCCGAATGATACTGAGAGGTACCGAAAGGTTCCAAACGATATTTAAAATGGGGAACCGAGGTGTCGGGCCAAAGAGGGCGGAGTTGGAGGCCGGAAAATGAATGGGGAAGACAAATGGGTAAAGGGGGTTAGCCGACTGAATGGTAGTAAGAAGGTAGTCATGCTAAGAATGGAAGATGACTAATAAGTGATAACGTGAGGGAGATCGCCGAAGGATGCGGGTAGCTCCGAAAGCGGAGTTGCGTATCCGAAGGATGTTAGGTGACTCCAATAAATGAAATGGGTGGAGGAATGGTTTAAGGGCATGTCACGGGATATCAGAGGTCCGTCGGGATATCGGAGCAAATCTGGGGTCTCTGAATGTTCCGACTCGGGACCGAGCTTCCAGGATGGGAGTGGCCAAGGTTCGGTGTGCCGCAACCAGACCGGAGCTGAGACAGTCAGGAGGGAAGGTGACTTGGGGAGTGGGGAGGCATGGTGTAGGGGATGGTGAAGTTGTTAGGAAGGTGTGGTGTGGTGGGAGTGCGCGGGGTCGGAATTCTGGGATATGACAATAGGCGAATCTGCCAACCCGAAACCCAATCTAGCCAGCCCCCAATCCGATGTCTGGCCCCCTGCCCTATCAACCATGCACTGCATCCAGACCTCCACCTGCATCCGGACTTCTGCCTGCATCCAGACCTCCACCCGCATCTGTACCTCTGCCCACCTCCACACCCTCTGGACCTCTGCCACTCCTGGTTGCCCTCCACACCCTGTGGTCAGGCCAACACTCCCCTCTGACCTTGCTGGCCATCATGCTGCCCTTGTTTGTGACAGCACTGATGGACCACCCTCTGTTGCGGACTTGTCAGCACCGCACTGATTTCCATGTCCCTTCGCGGACTTGTGTTGGCACCGCACCGACCCTGCTTATTTGCGGACTTGTATCGGCACTGTGCGCTGACCTCCGCTTTTCTCTGGCCATCTTGTCACTCGGCAGCATACCATTCATTCCTTGCCGAGTGCCTATATTGTTCATCCATTCATTTGCTTAACTTGCCAATATTGGCACTTGATTCGCTTTTGTTTAGTTCATTGCCTCCCATTTCCTGGGCTCTTGTCCTTCATTCAGTTTGACAATCCCCGCTTATTTCCGTGCCGGACTGTGCCGGACTGACCGGTCCTTCTGTGTTTCCCTCCTGCCTATTTATATCCTGTAAATACTTTCAGGGACCTTAGTCTGAAATCAACTAGAGTACCCCCCCTGTCTGGTCTGAGTCTCTCCTTCTGCAAAGGGGGCTTCCCCCCTCTGAGTCCATGCTCGCGGAGTCCGCACTCCTCCTACAGGTCTGCTCTGCCCGCAAGTCTTGTTTGAAGTCCGCTGTGAGTGTCAATCCGTAAATACAGGATCTCCCCCAAACATCAAGCTCAGGGCACAGCGCTCCACCTGAGTCGCTGAGGCCACGATCCCACTCTGCTAACCTTGAACAGCGCTTCCGGACGTGCCACATATTTCTGCCTGCATATCCGCACGCGCGCTCCAACAGACCTCTGCATACCTCCAACCTCAACTCAGACAGAACCCAATCCATCTTCCATCTGCCTTCTGACAGTCTGCCCGACTCTGACAGTATTCCGACTCTGACAATATTCCAGACTCTGACAGTACTTCCGACTCCGACAATATCCCAGTCTCTGACAGCATTCCAGATCTCTGACAGCATGTGATTACCAAATGTGCATGCAAACTTTTGCTAACTCGACGAATACCAAGGAATAGAATACAACTTTAGTACCATTGGAAAGGTGGGAATAAATGAAAATTTATGATACCAAGAACGTGAAAAACCATTCAGAAATGAATGAGATACAAGGACATGAAGTTTAAAACCTGAAAAACGTGTGGGAAGACAGCTTCTAGAGGTCCAGAGTCCTAAATAAAATACATAAAAATATGATATCCTCGAGGACGACCTATTATAACAATGAACAATACATACAAAGGACTAGGATGCAATAATACAAAGGGGAATCAGGGGAGAAGGATGAAATCCACGAAAACCACTAAACTATGATGGACCATGGTGGGAATTTTAGGGAATGATATTCTAATGAAGTGGAGAGCTATAATACATTTGTTTGAACAATTCTTGACTACTAGCAACTTTTTCTTTTGGTTCTAAACCTGAATAATTCACTCATTTATCATTTCAAGTCTCATTTCAACTAAATGTTACTGGATAAAAATAGAATAAATCAGCTGAAGGTCTCAGCGCAGCTGTATGCATAGTAATGTGAAGTTTGAATTCAGAATGACCGAGTCATAGTGAACTTAATGGTAAATATGAGGAATTTGAAATAGAAAACTGTGACAAATGCAGTGCAGTCAAGTTCTAATTGAACCATTAAAATAGCCTAGGCAAGGAAGGACAATAAGGATTCTATGCACAGTCTGAGTGCAGTAGAACTATAGCATGAAAAATTCATTTTTATTCAGTTTGAGGAAAATACACTGTAAATAAATCCTGTAAATACAAGGTAGAGTGTGAAAAAGGAAGGCAACCCAAGGAGTATAAAAGGGAGACCCTTTCTGCAACTTTTCACCCCCCTCAGAGAAGTAAGAAAATAGAGTATTATTTTTCTCAAGCATTTCTGGTTGTCACTCCAGCGCGGAAAAGTGATATACAGTTAAGATTGCCACTGTAGTAAAAGGCAGCAATTAGGGAGAGAAATATTAAGTAAATATTTCAACAGGAGAGCTGGTTAACGCTCCAGAATTCAAAGTGTAAACACAAAACAGTTATTTTGCTACTGTTAAAACAGGCAATAAAACAAGACAAAAATAAAACAAACTCAAGGGACACTTCAGACACAATTAAACAACTCTACACAGAATTACACCCAGACAAATTGAGAAATTACAATAGAGGAACAGCTCCACAGGGCTTGGTTTATCTGTAAGTCAAGTCTCAGAAACTTTTAGACTAACCCATAAAATAGAATTACCCAAAACACTCGGATTGGTACTATAATTACAACAAATATTACTAGTACACTTCCCCATCCTAACTAAAGAACCAGGGAACAGCTTGGTGGTGGTCTCGTTTGAACCTCCCAACTGACCTTCCTTCATTCTCTCCTTCAGCACATTATTGTCGTCGATCAAATTAATGACATCTTCGAGGTCAAGGCCACAGCTGGGGTCCGAATTTGTCATGGCTTCACCAGAATCAATGCCAGCAATGGCCTTGCTTGTTGTGAGCTCACTGGTGCTCTCCCAGATACCACTGGTATGCACATCAGGCTGGTAGACTGCTGTTGCATCCCCAACATCTTCTCTGTCTTCTATTTCTAAGTTGTCCACATCTGGATTGCTAGTCATATCCATCTTGATAACCAGCTCTCCAAGAGGAGAGAGGATATCTACTGTCCCATCCTTAGGTAGTGCATTGCATCGAGATCTAATGTTGGGATCCACTGTTCCGGCATGTAGGGCACCATCTTGCCAAGCAGTGAGGAGCACGACCCCACTTATGCTGACCTTCCCAAAGGGCCAGACTGATATGATCCATGTGTTGTGACTTCTTTTCTAGCTCGTTTAATGAAGGCAATTTCAGGCAACAGGGTGTATGGTCCCATTCTGGGTGCAGTGCCGGACTTCACTGACATGGGATAGTTGAGTAGTTAGCTGTAAGGTGTCCGCATTTGCATTGTTGCCCACAATAGTCAAAAGATCCCAAAAGTAACTTCAAGTCGATCTGTTCCGAGAAGTACAATGTAGAAGTGGGTAATGTCTGGGTCCACCTTGGCTTTTGCAACGCAGAAATATACATTCTTGATCATTATTTGAATGTCCACATAGAGTTGGGTCAGCAGGAAATGTCCCTTTTGAGGGTTTGCATGAAAGAGGATGAGCAGTAGATGCAACACAGCACTTGGGTGTGTCAGCTGTTGCCGAAGAGAGAGTGTTACATCAATAAATGGACACACAAGCATATAGCATAGTTGCCCAAACATGGAAAGAGCTCGACGCTGTGCTGCCCATTCAGGCTTGTTGCCACACACCTCTGTGAGAGGCAAGTCCCAGACTGCTTTGAGCAATTCCAGTGCCTTGGGTACATCCTGCTTGTCTGCAGGGTTCAAGAGCCCGTTGAGGACAACAGAAGAGACCCCATTTTCATGGAGATGGTGCTCTAGGATCGCAGGTAATATCATGCTCTCCAACAAGCAAGTTGAGGAATGGGAGTGGGGATAGATGAGGATAGATTGGGGAGCAATGGTCGAGTTTTTCTTTCAAGGTTAGCTTTGCAAGCGCTGCACCTCATCGAGATTCGCCATCTGATGCTATACTCCACAATGAGCCTGGTAGCTGAGCCTTGCAAGATTTTGCAACAGACTTGATTAATTCAGCATGGTCTCCAGCCTTCTCGTGTTTACATGTTGGCAATATCAAAATGGGATGTGCATTGTATATTTGAGGACTTGATGAAAGGAAACCTATTGCTCCAATGGTAGCCTCAAAGAATATGACAATATAAAAACTAATCAATGGATTGCACACCTCTGATGCTAGATGAATTTCCCCATCTCTCACACCTTCTGCTAACCGATATGCCTCATGTTCAGACTCAGATTGAAGTGCATACCCAGCTTGATGTTTGCAACAGATCCCGACAATTTGGTCCATCACCACATTGTACCGAGGAACTTCCTCAATCTTGATCTCATCAAACATCAATATATATGGGCTGGAATATGGTGAGCTTATGGGGGGAATTTCGGTAGATATCCCTGCTTGAAGAGAGACTGTAATATTATGCTCAAGCTCTGAGCTGCATGGCAACCCAGGTGAGACATGGAGTGGTGTTGTGGGTTGCAAGTGTCAAAGTGTGCTAACACCTGGCATGCCTAGGGCCTTGTGGGCAATGCTTGCAAGCCGATTCCCCCCTAGTCGCAGAAACAAGATCCCTAATTGCATCTCTTGCTCCATAAATGATTTGACAGAATATGATCTAGTGGCTGCTTTCGAAAATAAGAGAATAAGAGCACTAATGCTCATATTCCTCCTTAGTCCTGCCCACATAACTGCATCAGCACGCATCACATCGCCAGATGAGATTATCATCATAAGGTGTTTATGGTCATCGATGGTGCGTGTTCTCCTTCCCAGCTTGACACTTGCATTGAAGACCCACCGGTTCTTGGTAGTCAGGTGCTGCTGTGCCTGTTGCAATGCTTTTCGGAGTGTGCCCCAAGGCCAGTACTGATGTGATGAGTTTGATGGGATTCCATTGTTTATACATTCGATAATACCCTGTAGCTTTTTCTGCTGGAGAATGCGAAGACAGGGATGACAGCAAGGGCCAGCTGTAGTGGGACATTTGCAGTCCCAAGGGTGTAGGTACAAAATGCTCTGATGGAACTCAAGGTCCCACTCAAGCTTAGTAGCATCATGCATGCAATCGGGTAGGAGTTGTAGGGGGAATGACCAGGTGGAAAATCGAGCTTTATGCCGGTGCGGATGCCAGTTCTGTTACTTGGAGGAGGGGGGTCTGGTGCCGTGGTGGATGGTTCGTCCTGATCTTCAACATCACTGATGATCAGAGGACCAGATTGGGGGCTACCATTTTGTCTAGTTGTTGGGGGACATAGCATAAGCAGTTCTCTGTTACCCTATCGATATTGTGTAAGACTATATCACTGCATGTAGCTGCATCAGCCCTGATATATCATAAATCCCTCACCTTCTCCTGATCCAACGCTGCTCCTTTGATCCGAGTGTTCCTTAATTTCTATTCACTTCATTTCCTATCAGATCACAGTTTAGTTCCTTTGATCCTATCTCTCCCAATTGATTGATGTCACTCATGTATATAACTCTATGTGCTGCTGAGGGTTGGAACCTCAGCTTTCTCTATGACTAGGTTTTTGGGCGATATTCGACTTGGACTGACGAGCGATCCCTGACACTAGTCAATTCTTGGGATGATCTTGTCTCAGCAATACTAGTAAGTTGTTAGTATCAGAAATCCATCAGGTAGTGCGGCTTACATACATCATCATCATTGCTGCTGATAATCTTTCTAATTTGTCTTTGAATAGATTGGGGTCTAGGTTGCGGTTTTCCACAAACCACTCAAGAAAGTTCAACAATCCTTCAACCCCACTCTTTCCACATCATACTCTCTCAGAAATTTCAGTTGACATTGCACTGTACCCAAGAATGCAATTTAGTGGTCCATCAATCCCTTCTGTCATATCCATCCACAGCCATCAACTTCCACTACCTCCGATCTTTCCAGACTACCTCTGCTCCTTCTTCACTAACCTCGGAGCTCCTGTATTCCACAATCACCTCCACTTCTCTTGATGGTCACCACCCCCTCTTTTCAATATATTACCTATGCCTCCCTAAGTATGGAGCCCCGAAGGCTTCCAGACAGCTCCAACGTCTGCTAGCACACTCCTGCCTCCACTGGGCAATTCACTTGCTTGCCCTGCAAGCCCACCTTTGGGCCTATCCCTCCTTTCTAATTCTGGGTTATCGCCTGCCATTCCGCTAACCCTGTAACTTGACTTGTCAGTAATATTCAATTGGCTAATGTTTAACTCCATTAGCTCCACTCTGCTCGGCCCTGCCATTCACAGGCCGACCCTCGCTGTAACTATATATACTTAACTTGTACATAGGTTACACCTTAGTAATAAAATCGACTAGAGTTTAGTTCTTGTTTCCAGTAAGTAAATTAGGGCATGGACATGTAACTTGGCACAGTGCTCCTGGCTTGAGTCGCTGAGGCTGAAGCCCTCCACCACAGAGACAAATCCTTTGTCACGATCCGGTCTCTGACACCTTCCCAATCTTCATCAGGGTTATCGGTACAGTTGGTCTGAACATAAGACTTAGGATCCGCTGATCCCAGTGTATAAATTATGTCCCCATTATTTGCCTCAGGCACTGACATAGGCAATTGTTCCGCAAGAGTGCATGCTTTTGTAATGTCATTAAGACAGTCCAGCAGCATGACAGGGTTGGCCCTCTCTAGAGCATGTTGGACTGGTGCGAGGGGATGAAGGCACTGAGGTGCACTTAGGGAATATACCAGAGGTATGGTGGCAGCAGGGTGAGGAGTGAGCCAATTGGTGAAGTGGGATCTCTGAGCAGCAATGGCCCATTCTCCTATTTTTTTCTTCTTCTTTTGTGCCTGACATGAAGCACTGCCAATGTGAGATTTGAGGTTTGCTTCCCCTCCACATCCAACCTTGACTGTGGCTCCACACTCAGGGCATTCCATGCAGTCAGTCAGAGACACAGTGTCAGTGGCATGCCAATGATGCATGAGGTGCAAGGGTGTGGGCCCCTGCACGTGAAAACTGAGAGAAATTTTCATTTTATGTTTAGGCCACAGAAACAACACCACAGAGGCGTCCAAGAGGCGTAGCATTGAACCCAAACTAAGCCCAACTACCGAGAGTGGGAACATGTGACTGTGAGAAATTACCTTTTTTTGGCAAATAACGTCACGTGGAGGGAGGGAGGGTCCACCCAAAATCCTTTTTTGCCATTCTGAACTCCACTTTCACATCTAGAATCCCGACCCCCCCTTGCTACCCCTACCTGGCAGTGACTTGGTCTCTTTTGAAAACTTGCAAGAGGAAGTCAGAGGAGTGGAAGTGGTTAGGAGTAGTGGGGGCAGAGTGAAGTCAGAGTTGGTAGGAGTGAGGTCATGTAAGCATCCCAGGGGGCAGAGTTGAGTTAGTGTTACAAAAATGGGGCCTGAGGTGCCCATTTTTGGCACAGGAAGAGGGAAGGGTGAGGGGAGACAGTTCATAAGGTTGTACAGATGTTATCACAGGTGGTGGCACAATTTAGCACAGGTGTTTGAGACGATAATTGTTGGATGAATTCTCATTATTTACATGTCATGTGATTTGGGTGTGTGCAGGGCCCATGAGAGTCTAAATTGTTGGAGGAACTGTGTGCTATGGGAGGCCAGACAAGTTTTTGTACAGCCACATTCCCGTGCTAGCATGACTACTTGGTCACAACACCTCTTTTATATTATCTCAGACTAACCCATGCCAGGCCACAGATATATTCATTCATTTGAATTCATTTCCTTTTCCCTCAGTTCTTCACACATATTAGCTGAGACTGAGGTTAGTTACATTCCTTTATTACTATTTCCTTTACCATTGTAACTTACAATATGTACATTACCTTCAGCTTCCCACTCATAGGTAATACAATTTAGTTCTTCACACATATTAGCTGAGACTGAGCTTCCCGCTTATAGTCCAGCTCCGAGATCAAGTGTTGCTCATCAACATAAATTGGGAGAAATCCCATTTCCATAACAGTTAGGAGTCAGGTGGTGGATGTGGGAGTTGCCTGGAACTGAAGTGGAGGTAGGATGGAAAGTCTGGGATAACATGATGATATCCCTAGTTCTTCTATTCCACTGTCATATCCATATCAACTCTGCCACAATTTTGGTTTGACAACCAACTATTATCATCTCAAACACCCATGCTAAATAGCACTATAAGGTCTGTGGGGCTCACTCAGCACACCAGGCCATAAGTGTCACAAATATGTGTATTTTACGGTGATGTCTAAGCAATACTGGAAAGTACCACATGATCATGTGACCTTATATACATCTGGGTACAGGGCTTGTGCCCTGACAATGGGCCAATTAGGCCCCATTTTTATAACACTCATGCCCTTATATTCACTTCTGGTTTCCCTTTGTTCCCCCTTTGGTTCATTATAGTGTATACTGTAGTTCATGGCACCTCAGTGTGAAATCGATGACCAGTAGTCCCCCCCAGAGTTTTTGCAGCTCATCTGTAAGTTAAGAGCCACACACCAGTGTTTGGCACAGTGCTCTGCACCAAGTTGCTGAGGCCAAGGCTCCTCCACTTGTCCCTCCATCCTCATTCCAGGATTCCACATGTCATGCTGTATCAATGTTCCTTGCAGCTTTCCTGATGGTTGCCAGATTGCTGACTCTACTTTCCCATGTACATTTGTGTATAGACCCATGTGCTGGAGTGCTAGTCCCCCAGCTTTGATATCAACTAGATGTTTGGGGCTACACTGCATGCACTTGCATGCAATTATGGGCAGCATGACTGGTTGTTGGTCATGTTAGTACAGAATCCTACAGTGTGACCCAGGACAGTGCATCACTTCACTGTTGGGCCACATAGTCACAGCATGAAGAATCTGCTCAATGTAGCAGTTCTGGTAACCACAACAACTTGAGGAGTAAGGGGTTACAGGAAGTGATGGGTAGGGCATTACACTGTCCCCAAAACCAACACATGCAACACAGGGAACAGCTGTGCAATACATCAGCAACACCACTGTTGGGCCACATAGTCACAGCATGAAGAATCTGCTCAATGTAGCAGTTCTGGTAACCACAACAACTTGAGGAGTAAGGGGTTACAGGAAGTGATGGGTAGGGCATTACACTGTTCCCAAAACCAACACATGCAACACTGGGAGCAGCTGTGCAATATACCAGCAACACAGCTGGTTGCCAAGGAACCTCCTTCATTTCCTCACTTGATCAGAATTTGGAAACCTGTGGGGGAAGTGATGTAGAGATACATAAGCTGGAAGAATAACCTACAGGCTCAACACCATTCCTTTAGGAAACCAAACCCTCCACATCCTGGTTGTGCATACATTAAAGCAAAGGCAGATGCTGACACCTCAACAGACCATCCACTGCTACTTCTGGGGTTGGGTGGTCATCATCAGTCTCCTGCTGCTCACTCATTCAGCCCTGATTGTCTTGTGGGCTAGTGGAATTTTGAGGCACCTCAGGTTCCCTGTGGATCAAGTGAACTCAGTGCAGCAAATCATTGTCATTTCCACCCAGGTTTGGAATTTTCTTGTTTCAGCTGCATTAACACTTGTCATACAAGGAATAATGTTTGATATAATCATTCATCGTGGTAAGTTCATTTGCAGAGAACTTTAGACCATCAGTAGCACTGCCTATTTTAGAGCAAACACTTGCATCACTACACAACTCTCTTGGAGCTTGGCAAAGCTTCTTTGGATCTATTTCTGCATTGTGGCATGCTCGACATCTGGATAATGTGCTCCGCATCCGGCTTTTACTTGCAGCATTATTCTATGCTTCAGCTTCATTCCTCCAAGTCACAACAAATGCTGCAATATCTGTTGCAATCACAGCTGCTGAAGATCCTATAACTCTGAATGTATCACAACCAATTGGAAATCTCAGCTATGTAATTACAGAGTTAAATATGGGTGCTGTGCCAGAGACGGTGGAGTTACTATGGAGAGAGAAAGATGACCAAATTGGTTTCCCCCATGGCATCAATGGATCGTGAGTGTCATTATTTTCCAGCCCGACCATCCCAGAACATTTCACTTCCAGAGTCTTCTTCTCCATACTGGAGGATACCACTTCTGATGTTGTGTACCAAGATCAGTTTGCCCAACAATTGAATGTTAAATGTGCATCTCTCCCAAATGCACACATGTCAATTTCCCTGGACATCATAGGTGAATCCTGGGGCTTTCCTTTGTGTGTGCCTAAATTAAATCAAAATATTATTAGGTCCTGGAGATTGCTCTATTACCCCAAATTTCAGTGCCACCTACATGC